TAGGAATACAGAGAAGCTTAAGCAGCTCTTCCTTTTTTTCGTTTTCCCTCCCTCCTTTGCTTTAACCCACAGACACATAAAGAGCAATATACATGTATCTTAACCCTAGCTTAAAACGCCAAAATCACTTCAACAACAAGCCAATGAACTTGTGAACTTGAATTGATTGTGATTTACTTTGTACGCAAATACATTATCGTATGAAGTGGACGTTAATGTCTAGACAATAAGCTATTGTGCACCTAGTGCATGCATTCTGGCATTTGGAGAAACAAATCGATACGTGTAAGGGAGAGACCGTAAGAGAGATGGAGAGAGAGAGAAAGAAAGAAAGAAAGAGAGAGAGAGAGAGAGAGAGAGAGAGAGAGAGAGAGAGAGAGAGAGAGAGAGAAAGAGAGAGGCACCATGATAAATGCATACAACGAGGAAGGGATTTGCTTTCTTTCGGGACAACTGAAGAATCAAACCGAAGTAAAAGAGGTGAATCTTCTGGAATCATACGACCTCATTTTCTGTGGAAGCCAACGGCCGTGTAAAGATACGCAGTACTTGAGTAACATAAAGCTCTCAAGTACATTGTCTAAATTGATAAATAGTTAATATATAGAACTTATGTAATTTTTCGTAACATTCTCTCCCATGAAGTCCTCTGTGCCCGTTTCTCGGGGCAGACAGCTACAATCACGACCTGAGAACAGTCTCCTAATTCCCAGGATTCCAAAGATTCTTTAACTGCACGATCTGCATAGCTGATTAATAGAGCTAGAAATTTCGAACTTTGACTTCGCCGTAACAATGTAACGATTACCCACCCCTTGCCCCCATCTCTCTCCGTCTCTCTCTCTCTCTCTCTCTCTCTCTCTCTCTCTCTCTCTCTCTCTCTCTTTCTCTCTCTCTCTCTCTCCCTCTCTCTTTTGTGAGCACGATCCTCTTTATATTATATTTACATCGCTCTTTCTTATACACATATATACATTTGTCACTTATATTTTACGAGTACCGAACAAAACGTAGCAATTGATTTATTTAGTATTTCCTACTATATCTATAGACCCCGTACTCTTCCACCTTCTCCTCCTACTCTCTCTTTCTCTCTCTCTCTTTCTCTCTCTCTCTCTCTTTCTCTCTCTCTCTCCCTCTCTCCCTCTCTCTTTTTTCCCTTTCTTTCTTTCTCTCTATCTCTATTTCTCTCTCTCCCTCTCTTTCTTTCTCTAACACACACACAAACAAACAGACAGACAGACAAACATACACACACACACACACACACACACACACACACACTCACCAACTCACTCCCTATGTTCACTCACAGGACACAGCTAGGAATACAGAGAAGCTTAAGCAGCTCTTCCTTTTTTTCGTTTTCCCTCCCTCCTTTGCTTTAACCCACAGACACATAAAGAGCAATATACATGTATCTTAACCCTAGCTTAAAACGCCAAAATCACTTCAACAACAAGCCAATGAACTTGTGAACTTGAATTGATTGTGATTTACTTTGTACGCAAATACATTATCGTATGAAGTGGACGTTAATGTCTAGACAATAAGCTATTGTGCACCTAGTGCATGCATTCTGGCATTTGGAGAAACAAATCGATACGTGTAAGGGAGAGACCGTAAGAGAGATGGAGAGAGAGAGAAAGAAAGAAAGAAAGAGAGAGAGAGAGAGAGAGAGAGAGAGAGAGAGAGAGAGAGAGAGAGAGAGAGAGAGAGAGAGGCACCATGATAAATGCATACAACGAGGAAGGGATTTGCTTTCTTTCGGGACAACTGAAGAATCAAACCGAAGTAAAAGAGGTGAATCTTCTGGAATCATACGACCTCATTTTCTGTGGAAGCCAACGGCCGTGTAAAGATACGCAGTACTTGAGTAACATAAAGCTCTCAAGTACATTGTCTAAATTGATAAATAGTTAATATATAGAACTTATGTAATTTTTCGTAACATTCTCTCCCATGAAGTCCTCTGTGCCCGTTTCTCGGGGCAGACAGCTACAATCACGACCTGAGAACAGTCTCCTAATTCCCAGGATTCCAAAGATTCTTTAACTGCACGATC